GCGCAAAGCTACACCGAGAAACCCTGTCTCGAAAAAACCAAAAAAAAACAAAAAAAAAACAAAAACCTCAGGAAACATTTGTCATACAATATGACACGTGGGCAGCGCCCCAGATGTTCCCAACAGACACCCACCACCTTCTTACCTTCTAGAAGAGCAGGCGTCCACCGCCACATGGACCTGCAGCCCTCGGTCCAGGAGGTCGAGGGCCCAGTGAGGGAGTGAGGATCCTAGACCCGAAGCGAGGGCTGAAATAGCAGATGAGGAAGGTTCCTTTCAAAGAGGGCTATTGAGAAGATGAGGGACCCCAAGGAGTCTCACCAAGATGCAGCCTTGGGTCTCGATGCCACAGAGCAGCACGGACCGCAGCTGAGGCCGCCTGTCCAGCTCCTGCTGCAGCGGGGGCACCATGCTGAAGCATGTTTTGCTTATGGCTCGTAGGCCCTGAGCGCCCAGCTCGGGCACTGTGGGGCCCAGGCCTTGTGGGTACTGCTCCGTCAGCAGGACAGGGACATCCAGCAGCCGGGCCACCTCTATGGGAGGGGAAACGCACTGGTTCCTGGGTCTGAGGGAGGAGGGTTTCGGTCTGCACTCCTGGGTCTGGGGAAGGTCAAGACCCAGGCATGTACCTTCAGCATTCGCGCGGCCACCGACACGATCTGTGGGAAGTAGAGGACTCTGTCTCGAAGTTTCTCCTGCATGTCGCATAGGAACAGGATGGAGGACTCCGGGCGGATCCGGCCCAGGCTAGCCCTGGCTGCGGCCATGGTCTGGGGGTGGACAGAGGGGGGGTAGGCAGGGTCAGGTGGGGATGAAGGTCCGGGGATTTCACTCAGGCTCTGTGCACTTGGTTCTGTGGCCCCTACATTTCATCCTCCTGCCTCTACCTCTGGCCTTTCCAGCTGCTGTTGTGTGGCCTGGGATTCCCTCCCCACACCTCCCTCCCTCTCTCCTGCCTAGCTCACACTTGACCGCCAAAGCCTCCTCTGAGCACGTCCACCCTGTTCCCACCCCCACCCCAGACTGCCTCTTCCTCTTCTCCTCCCCAAAGACTGTCAGTGTTGGTAAGTAATGCTGTGACCTCTTTCTACCTGTCCCTAATGGAGCTCCCGCAGGCTTCCACCCCCATGGGGAAACTGAGGTCTAAGCATAAGGTGACCCGCTCAGGGGACATACAGATCTTGGATATTGTCTTTGAGATAAAAAAGTGCCACAGAGGGCTGAAGAGATAGCTCAGCCATTAACGAGTAGGCTCACACCCAAAAAACTGTAAGAAAAAGTGCCACAGGGTTTTGCTACGTAGCCCAGGCTGGCTTTAAAGGGTCTTGCTATGTAGCCCAGGCTGACCCTTAAAATTACAGTCTTCTTGCTTCAGCCTCCTGGCTCCTAGGACAACAAGTATGTGCCACCAGGGCAGAATCTTTGAGATCCTTAAAGCCTACCTCCCCCGCTTGGCCAATATTTCCTCCCAGCCTCAGTTTACCCATGTGTAAATCGCTGTTGCTGAACTTCTTTCTGGGTCTTGTAAAGAAAAGGGTGGTGCACCCGCAGAATGGGTAGTAATAAGCCACAGAAAGTAACAAAAGCCTACCATGGGCTACAGCATAGAACCCCCAGAATGTCATGCTTAGTCGAAGAGACCAGTACACACTGCAAGGCCCCTTCACGTGCAATGGCCAGAATAAGCCACATGACGTGGCTCACACAGTAACCCTAGCGCCCAGGGCTGCAAGAACTGCTGAGTTTTCAAGGGTGGCTTGAGCTCCAGGACTTCCAAGGTAACATGGACTGCCTAGTCTCAAGATGCCCAAACCAGAGCTGGCAAGATGGCTCTGTGGGTAAAAGCTCCTGCCAATGAACCTAAGGCCGGACCCACGCCTGATTGGACTCTGGTGGAAGAGACACCAACACCCAAGAGTTGTCCACTGACCTCCATATGTCTGTCTTCCACACACCCCACACACATTATTTTAACTAGGCAAAGCTGTGTTACATTTGTTTACGTTGCAGAATATTGCTTTAACTGTGTTACATTTGTCTACACTGCATATGTTTAACAATGTAATGATATGTATTTAATTATGTAAAGAAGTGTTGCATTTGTCTCCCCTTGCCTGCCTAAGGCACCTGATTGGTCTAATAAAAAGCTGAGCGGCCCATAGCTAGGCAGGAGAGGGACAGGCAGGTCTGGCAGGCAGAGAGAATACATAGGAGGAGAAATCTTGCTGTAGAATGTTATTTTAAGCTGTGTTACTTTTGTTTATGTTGTATTTGTTTATCTCTGTGATGCTGTGTTACTGTGCCGGCCTAAAACACCTGATGGTCTAATAAAGAGCTGAATGGCCAATATCGAGGCAGGAGAAAGGATAGGCGGGGATGGCAGGCAGAGAGAATAAATAGGAGGAGAAATCTGGAAGGAGAGAAAGAAAGAATGAGAATAAGGAGGAGGACTTCAGGGGCCAGCTCCACAGCCAGACACAGAGTAAGAAGGGAAGAAAAGGTGTACAGGAATAGAGAAAGATAAAATCCCCCAGGCCAAAGATAGACAGGATAATTTAAGAAAAGCAGCTGGCAAGAAACAAGCCAAGCTAAGGCCAGGCATTTATAATTAAGGGTAAGATGGGTGGCGATGGTGCACACCTTTAATCCCGGCACTCGGGAGGCAGAGCCAGGTGAATCTCTGTGAGTCTGAGGCCAGTCTGGTCTACAGAGCAAGATCTAGGACAGGCACCAAAACTACACAGAGAAATCCTGTCTCAAAAAATCAAAAAAGAGCCGGGCGGTGGTGGCGCACGCCTTTAATCCCAGCACTCGGGAGGCAGAGCCAGGCAGATCTCTGTGAGTTCGAGGCCAGCCTGGGCTACCAAGTGAGTCCCAGGAAAGGCGCAAAGCTACACAGAGAAACCCTGTCTTGAAAAAAAAAAATCAGAAAAGAAAAGGAAAAATAAGCTTCCATGTGTGATTTATTTGGGAGCTGGGTGGCGGGCCCCCAAAGAGCCAAAACAGTGAAGAGTAAAAGCGTAAAAAACAACCAACAACAAAATCTAGAGACAAGAGGGAGAGAGGGCACACGTGGGGCCAGAAGCCAGGTAGCCGCCAGCCAGACACACAGAAAGATAAAACGCCCGGAGGCAAAACACAGGCGAAGAGAAACAGGTTAAGTTATAAGGGCTAGCAAGAAACGAGCCTAAGCTAAGGTCGAGCACTCATAACTAATAAGTCTCTGTGTCATGCTTTGGGAGCTGCTGGTTGGTGCAACCCCCCCCCCCCCAAAAAAAAAAGACTGGTATACGTACACACGCACACACACACACACACACACACACACACACACACACACACACCTTATAAAATAAGTACATGCGGGGCTGGAGAGATGGCCCAGTGGTTAAGAGCACTTGTTGCTCTCACAGAAGACCAGGGTTTGATTCCCAGAACCCACGTGGAGACTCAAAACCGTCAGTAACCCTAGTTCCAGGGGATCCAATGCCGTTTTCTGAATTCTCTGGGCACTAGGCATGCATGCAGGCAAAACGTTCACACACACACACACACACACACACACACACACACACACACGAAATCACTTTTTTAAAAAGCTAGAAACAGCTGGGAGGTGGTGGCGCACGCCTTTAATCCCAGCACTTGGGAGGCAGAGCCAGGTGGATCTCTGTGAGTTCGAGGCCAGCCTGGTCTCCAAAGGGAGTTCCAGGAAAGGTGCAAAGTTACACAGAGAAACCCTGTCTCGAAAAAACAAAACAAATAAATAAAAAGCTAGAAAGAATGACAATAAAACAAAACCAGAAGTGTACAGAATAGTTAACACCAGAAATGCACACAGGCGTGGGATGGAGCAGGGAGAATTTAGGTCACTGTTAACGACTACAAGGTTTCTTTCCATTTGGGGGAATACAAATGTTTTGGACCTAGGTTAACCGTGACGGCTGTGCACATGGCGGACATGCCAATGGCCACCCGTGCCTTCGCAAACGCCTTGAGAAGACTAGGAATGTGGCTCAGTTGACGGAGCGCTTGCCCCAGAACCACGTAAACTCACTGAGGTGGCGTACACCTGAAATCCCGGCAAACCCAGTGCTCAGAAGGCCAAGGCAGGAATCAACGCCACCTTCTGTGATGCAGTGAGCGGGAGGCCAACCTGGGCTACTGAGACCCCCTGTTCAAAAACTAAGTTGTTTGAGAGAAACCTTTCCTTCCCCTCTTCTGATGCACACATGTGTGGAGGCCAGAGGCCAAACATGCGTGTCTTTGCTCAGAAGCCCACCTACTCTGTATTTTGAGACAGGGTCTCCCCCTGGGACCTGGGGCTCCTATATTCAGCTAGACTGGCAGGACACTGAGCCCCAGGAATCCCCCAGCCTTCCCCCTCCCAGTGTTTGGATTACATGGGCTCAGGCTTAGCCCTGGTTTCTATGTGGGTGCTGAGCATGGGACTCAGATCCTCCTCTTATGTATATGGCAAGTATTTACTGAATGAGCAATCTCCCCAGCCTAAGTGGATCAATTTAAATAAATATATATAATTATTTTTATTTATTGTTTTTTTTCCCCCGGTGTAACCTTGGCTGTCCTAGAACTCACTCTGTAGACCAGGCTAGCCTTGAACTCACAGAGAGTCCCCTGCCTCTGCCTCCCAAGTGCTGGGATTAAAGGCTTGCGCCACCACTGAAAGACTATATATTTATTTTTTAATTGTATGTGTATGGGTGTTTTGCCTGTATGTACGTGCAGTGCCCACAAAGGCCAGAAAAGCATGTCGGATTCACTGGAACTGGAGTTACCGATGGTTATGAGTTGCCATGTAGGTGTTGGGAATCAAGCCTGGGCCCTAAGAGTGTAAATTCTGCGTGTATCTTACCACAATTAGAAAAAAGAGAGAGAGAGGGAGGGAGGGAGGGAGAGAGGGAGAGAGGGAGGGAGGAAGGGAGGGAGGGAGGGAGGAAGGAAGGAAGAAAAAGAAAATGAAAGGCACAGGCTGGTGAAGCCACCTGCCCTGTAAACCACCTCCTTCCATATATATATAGATATATATATATATTTTTTTATTATACTTTTACAAGGAAGAAAACTGAGTCCTCAAAGGACCTGGGGCTCAAATGCCAGGCGAGACCGAGGCGTGCCTGAAGTGCTTTGTCACGGTGTCTGTCTGTACACCCAGGGCCCCGAGGCCTCACAAGCCGTGGCAGGTGCCGGCCCAACCCCGGGAGGCCGGGTTATCACTGGGCGCTGAGGTACTGCACAGTCCCAGCTGGGCTCGCTCTGCAGCTCCTGCCTACTGTTTGTGTTCCTTCCTGATTTATCACTCCGTGGAATTCGGAGTCTCAGAGAGCGGACACAGGTTCTGGCTCAAGCCAGGCCAACATCTGAGGCTGTCCCTTGATCTCCACACGCGTGCTGTGGATGTGCACGAACACACACACACACACACACACACACACACACACACACACACACACACACACAAACTGTGTGTGGTGGCAGATGGGCAGGCTGGGACCCCAGGACTCTGGAGATGGAGGCAGTCTTTCTCTGCTACTAGTGAATTCTGAGCTGCTGAGCTACATGCAACCTTCTCTCAAAATAAAGGTAATTTTGTCTTTTTATTCTCAGGGAGAGGTCTGCAGACCTTGCTTTCACGAGGTCAGGTTTCTTGAGACATCTCACGGCATTTGTCATATTGTGATTAACTAGTTCATTGTGGGCTTAAGAGTTGTTTGTTTGTTTTTCCCCCGAGACATGGTTTCTCTGTGTAGCCCTGAGTTCTGGAACTTGCTCTATACACCAGGCTGGCCTTGAACTCAGAGATCCTCCTGCCTCTGCCTTCTGAGTGCTGGGATTAAAGGTGTGTCTCACCATGCCCCAGCCCCCTCTTCATTTTTGATTTTTAAGATATATTTCTTTTTACTTTCTGGGTACACGTGTAAGTCTGTGGGCCACATGGATGCAGTACCCACAGCGGCCAGAAGAGGGTGTCAAATCGCCTGGAGCTGGAGTTTCACAGCTATTTGCCACCATATGGGCGCTGGATCCAGCATCCCTCTTTTTTAAAGAAATGAAATTAAGTGCTATAAAATTAGAATAAAGGTGGAGGCACGGTGAGGCATCCGGGTGGCTGTGCCAAGAGTTGGAGGCTGGCCAGGACTGCATAGTGACCTTGCCACCGAAAAGCTAAGCAATAGGAAATTTAAGATTGCATAACGTGTTTAGGTTGGTCCAGTGAAGAATGAACACACACTCTGTGACAACGCCAACAGCCAGCAAAAACAGCCTGTGGGAACCAGGTGCAAAACTGGCGGCCACTTCCCTGACTCCGCACCTTCGCCCAGTCCCGAGAACCGAGAAGCAAGCCCGGCCCGCGCGGCCACGAGGCTCTAGATTCAGAGTCCCGTGTCTCAGCGGGAACATGTACACGTGGATCTCCAAGTACAGCCTCAGGTGTTGGCTGCCACCTTCCACGCCGAGATAAAGTCTGTTGTCTGCTACTGCACAAGTCAGGCTACCTGGCCGGGGAACTCCTGGGGAGTCTCCCGTCTCTGCCGCCCATCTCCCACTATGAGTTTTGGAATTACAGTTATACGCTACCGTGTCTGGCTTTACGTGGGTGCTGAGGACCCTGAACTCCCCACGCTTGAGTGGCAAGTACTTTATCCACTGAGCGATCTACCCAGTCCCTGGAGGGCCCCTTCTCACTCCCGGGGCTGTCTCCTGGTCCTGAGCACCGGCAAGGGACACGCTGGCACCAAGAGACGTTCCCGAGCTGGAGGGTCACATGGAGGCGTGCAAGGACCTGGGAGTTGGCTGAAGGCAGCAAGAAGTCCCAGAGGGTCAAAACTGGAGGCTCAGAATGTCTCACAGACTGACGGGTGTCAGAGCGTGAACTTGTCTTTGCACTGGAAAGAGTATGGTCACTGCCCTTAAATTGACAGGGACACAAATCTTCTGATCCAGAAGTCCGTCCCTAAGTATTTATCTGACAGGGACCAGATTATTAACCACAGGACTCTGACGGGGCTCCGGTGACAGAGTCGAGCATAAATATAGACATTTCCCAGACTGTGGACACTTGCAGCCTGGCCACCTGGTGACCCACAATGCCTTACACAAGCATTTAGAGACTCCTAATGACCCATGGTATTCTATCCATTCTTATCCACGTGGCTGTAAAGCAGATAGCTTCCCATGAAGTCAAGGCTGGCCTCGGACTCACGGCAACCCTTCTGTCCTATCGGTTTAAATCCTGGGATTACGGGTACAGAGTCACCGTGCTGTGATAATACTTTTCCTTTTCTATTTCTTTTCCACTACGTGGCTAAGCATGACCCTGACCTTCTGATCCTCCAACTTCCACCGCGGAGTGTTAGAATTATAAGCCTGCATCATCAAAGACAGTTTATGCACTCAGTGCTAGGGGTCAGGCTCAACACTGTTGACTTTGAGACACAATCTTGCTAAGCTGCCCAGCAGGGCCTGGAATTCAATTTGCAATTTTCCTGCTAAGGCTTCCAGAGTAGCTGGGATTACAAGCCTGCAGCCGGTCCAGTTCAAACTACGGATTCTTTGTAGCTGGAAATCATTGCAAAGAAGGTCTTCAACACCAATGAAAAGCGCTCACAAGACGTGAAAAGCATGGTATGGAATACTCCATCTGTGCCACCCCAAACTGGCAAACATAGGTTTTTAGTTTTCTTAAAAATCTCCATTTATTTATTTAGTTTATAGATGGGAGAGGGCGTCCATGCCATGGTGCCCATGTGGGGGTCAGGGGCTGACTTGAGGGAGTCAGTTCTCTCCTTCCATCATGTGGATCCCAGGGAACGCATGTGTGTGTGTGTGTGTGTGTGTGTGTGTGTGTGTGTGTGTGTGTGTATTAGGTTTATTTTGTATGATTGTTTGTCATGACATGAATGCATGCATTGTCTGCAGAGGCCAGAAAAGCACATCAGATCCCTTGGAACTTTTTGGTGCTGGGAACCGAACCCAGGTCTTCTGTAAGAGTAACAAGAGCTCTTAACCACTGAGTCAAGTCTATATACACACACACACACACACACACACACACACACACACACACACACACACACACGTTTTTAAGGCATATGTCTCAAGGGTGGGGCACTTGGCTTGGGAACCATTTCTGGGAGGCACACAGTGTGAAGGAAATTTGACTTTGGCTGTGTCCTTAATTAATGGATGTAATTAGTTAATGGATGGATGGATGGATGGATGGATGGGTGGGTGGATGGATGGAAGGAAGGATGGATGGGTGGGTGGGTGGGTGGATGGACGGATGGATGGATGGCAGGCAGGGTGTCAATGTATCCTAGGCTGACCGGGAACTTGCCATGTAGCCGAGCCTGGTTTGAACTCCTGATCCTCCTGCCTCTACCTCCTATGTCCTAGCGAACTACAGGTGTCCAACGTCGCTCCCAGTTTGACACTCCACTTCCGGATTAGAACGGTTTACAGCTGGGAGTCCACTTGGTGGAAATTCACCTGACCTCTCCGCACTGGGGCTGCGTGCTACTTGTGGCATGTATGTTTCAAAGAGGGGAGGGGGCTGGGGCTGCAGTTCGGTGACAGAGCGCACTTGCCTGGCCTTCTTGACGCCTTGGGCTCAGCTCTCCACTACTGCCAGATCTGATGGAGATGGGCTGGGGACAGAGCTCGGAGGTGCCTTGTGTGACCCTGGGTGAGTTTCGATTCCTCTCTGGGCCACTTTTTCCTTCCTGGGTTAGCCCACTCGCGGGGCTGACTGATGCAAAAGTTGGTTCGGGAGAGGGCTGGAGTCCCTCCCCGCGGGTCCACGGCCCGACGCCCCGCCAGGCTTCCGTTTCCTGGGCTGAACAGTGGGACGGTGGGTTTACAAGCAGCGCGCGCTCCGCGAACGGGACTTACCCCGAAAGTCCCAGGTTCGAATCCGGTCCCCTTCCTAACAAGTCCTGTGACTATTCTGGATTCCCACGGACTCCGGACTGGGTCTCCTTTTTGCCCTGTGTGGACACGTGGGCCGAGCCTTGGGTCACCGCCCCGCCCCTGTTTCCCCGTGCCGAGCCACCCAATTGGTGCTTGCCTCACTCTGTCCCACGCCTCTGGCCAACGCATAGACGCTTCTGCTGCGCTCTCATTTCCGTTAATCTGATTGGTCTGCAGAAGCTCGAGAGGGGGGAATACAGTGGATCTGACCAATGGGAATCCACGGAGGGCGGGCTCTGGCTGAGAGCTCAGCCTCTGACCCGGAGAGTGGGTGGGTGCTGCCAGTAGCTGCAGGCTGTCCTAGGCTGCTGTAAAGAGCCTGGGAAGCACCCGCTCCCTCGGGGCGTGCAGCCGTGATGCTCTCCTGCAAACCTAGCTGTAGGCAGGCTGAAGCAGGAAGATTGCCAGTTCAAGACCGGCCAGGGTTACGTACGCAGTGAGAGCCTGTAAACAAAAACCGGGACTACAAAGGAACATGCCTACTAAGAGGAGACCCTGGGACATTTCGCCCCCTGCTAGCCGATTTGTTTTCTCCTTTCTCCGTGTATTCAGCACTTACCGCCTTGGGTGGTCCGATAAGTTGACTCTGTATTTAGAAATGGGGGTTAAAAGAGACAGAGTTTTCCATCCAAATACATAAACCTGGTATAGTGGCTCATGCCTGTAATCCCAGCTGGAGGATTGTCTTGAGTTCAAGGAATAAGGGAGAAACAAAACAACAAAACAAAACAAAAGCTGAGTGTGGTGCTTATGTTCACGATCCCACGCGCTCAGAAGCGAAGGCAGGAGGATTTCTTTGATTTCAAGATATGAGAAAAAGGCTAGGCAGGGTGGGTAACTGTAAGCCCGGCATTTGAGAGGCTGGGGTAGAAGGGATCATTTTGGGGAAGAGCTTGAGGCCTGCCAGAGTTATATCTACATAGAGTCCCAGGTTAGCCTGGGCTACAGGGTGTGTGACCCTGTCCCACAGACAAACCAACAAAAAGGCTGGGAATGTAGTTCAGGTGGTAGAGTGCTTGCCTGGCTTGAGGGAAGCCGTATTTATACAGTATTCATTTATTTACCCAGCACTGTATATGTGGGGGAAGTGGAGCGGACAGTAATCCCAGCACCTGGAAAATGGAAGGTAATCGGAGCATAAGTTCAAGGTTGGTCTCCCAGGATAGTGAATTCAACTGCATCCTGAGACCCTGTCTCAAACAAAACAAAAATCAACAAACCAACTAGCCAACTAACCAACAAAAATAAAACAAAATACCAATAAAAACACAATCCAAATTCTTCCCATCCTTTCCGGTCTGTACTCCAGCCACACTGGCCTCCCCAGGGTCCCAATCCAGGCATTTTGTGTGCTGCTCCTGCTCCTGGACTCCAGGCTTCCCCAGAGCCTGCTTCTGCTGGGCCCTCCAGGCCTTCTCTGACCAGGCGATGATGGAGTTAGTCAGCAGCACATTTTATTTATATCACAGCACTCCTTCCAACCAGAAATTGGAAATTCATCTGTATGTCTGAAACTCTCTGCAGGTTCTTGTGTGTTGGTGTGCGTGCACGTGTGTGTGTGTGTGTGTGTGTGTGTGTGCGTGCACGTGTGTGTGTGTGTGTGTGCTCTCTCGCTCACACGCACGACTTGAGCTCCACGAGTTGGGGATCTTCTCTACTTTGTCTGCTGATGAGCCCCATCACCAAGTCCTGAGGCCCAGAGCGGTGCTCAGTGGAATTGAGGGACTATTGAGAGCCCAGACACCAGGCAGAGAAGAGCGGGGTGGGGGAGGGGAGCAGCCTGTGCTGGGATGCCACTGGGAAGAGATTTGAAAGTTCAAGGAGTCCCTAAAAGGACCAGAGGTGAGCTCTGGGCCTAGCAGGCTCTGGGGCTGTGGTCCAAGATAGAGGAGTCTGGGCCCGGTTTATTATCCCAGTGTTTTTTTCGCCCCCTCGAGACAGGGTTTCTCTGTGTAGCTTTAGAGCCTGACCTGGAACTCGCTTTGGAGACCAGACTGGCCTCGAACTCACAGAGATCCGCCTGCCTCTGCCTCCTGAGTGCTGGGATTAAAGGTTTGTGCCACCATGCCTGCCCCCCTCTTTTAAAAATTATTTATTTATTTTGATTTTAGGTGTATGGGTGTTTTGCCTGCCCGTGTGCCTGTGCACCACATGCATGCAGTGCACCCGGAGGCCAGAAGAGGGCATCGGGTCCCCCTGCAACTGGAGTTGCAGAGGAACTGAACCCTTGTCTTCTGGAAGAGCAGCCAGTGTTCTTAACCGCTAAGTCATCTCTGGATCCTCTTCTCTTCTCTTCTCTTCTCTTCTCTTCTCTTCTCTTCTCTTCTCTTCTCTTCTCTTCTCTTCTCTTCTCCTCTCCTCTCCTCTCCCCTCCCCTCCC